AGCTAGCTGTACTGACTGAGACACTTGTGAGTGATTCTCTAATTGGAGATACATTTGGTACTTCAAGAAATGACAAAAAAAACCTTTTCATTTCTTAAAAAGTTTCTTATGTAGTCTATTGAAAAGGCATTAAACTTTAAAAAAATCTGTAATTGCCAAACATTAGCTACATATTTTATAATTTTTTCTCAGAAAAAACGTATGTTTTGCGGTATGTTATGTCAACTCTGTTACGGACAATATAGACAGTGAGTGAAAAAAACAATAAATTCTAGCAGACTAAAATATTTTTATTCCATTACACCAAGTGTCCTACTACCCAAATACTTTAAATTGAGATGTTTTACTTAAAAATACATTTAAAAAAATCAAAAGATACTCAACTTTTCAAAGAGTTATTCACATAGGGTCAAACGTTTTTCATTAAAACTCATTGAAAACCATCATTCTTTTAGAAATAAAATTGGTCAGTAATACTCAATCACAGCAGAAGTCAACCAACAATGTATATGGTGCTCTGGACAATTGACAGGACCATAATAATTTCGAACTGAAAACTCTGTTACTGTCAACTCTGTTACCCTATTTGGTAACAGAGTTGATGGTAACAAAATTGACAATTTCAAACATTTTCATGAAAAACTCCACTTGTGAGTAGAAATTCTGAAAAAACATGACACCACTGATATAATTATTTAAAAACCATTAAATAAACTTGTCTCTGATCAAAAATCTGTGGTATTTTTCTCATGATACTTTGGTAACAAGATTGACGTTGAAAACAATAACCCCTGGTGATTGTGATTTTTAGACTAAAATATTTCCCAGAGAATGGCACATAGACCTATGTGTGTTTGAGGTCTTACAGGAAAAGTAAATGACTTAATTTTATGTAGTTTATATAGCCATAGAAGGCAATTTCACAGATTTACAGAGACAAAACCATATGGTAACAGAGTTGAGAAAAAATTCTCGGACACATATTTTTTCGAAAATAAGGGTATTTTGAGTTAATTTAATGTGATGTTATTAAATTGACCATTTAGGCAGTTTAAAAAAAATAAAAAAAACAAATTCACCAAAGAAAAATCATAAAACATAGGTTTTTGCATCAATTTTCAGGTTAATAAAAAAGACAGTACCCAACTCGGACAACAAGAAGTCTTGGTTTTTCAGCTATATAAAACAATTTTAAATGTATTTACTTAAATGTTTTTACTTGTTAAATATTATGATCCATTAAAATGAGTAATAAATTACTAAAACATTTAAAAATTGAAATATTTTAATATACCAGACCAAAAATAATGACTCTGGACATCAAATGTATCTGCAATTATAGAATCACTCATCTGCGATGAAAAAAAGTTGTCACTCATGCGCTGAATTATTGTGTGGAGGTGTTGACTGAGGTGTCGCAAATATGGGACAACGCTGTGACCAAAGTCTGCATTGATATGACATTCAGGAACGATCCGATTCTTCTGGACGTATCTTTGCTGATTAAATTTATTTCAGTTTTAAGTATTTAATATCTAGATGTTTTATGGAATGTGGCTCTTTCAGATCAATTTGAGAAGCAATTTTGATAGGTAAAACTTTATTTTTTTGTGCTGGTCTTGACATGGTCTAGGGTAGGTGGTCTTGACTACAACTCTGCTACATGGTTCCTCGGTTGCATGTCCTCTCCCACCCACCTTCTTTCCATCCCTTCTGTTGGATTTCTTTAAAAATAAATGCCACTAGTGGCAAAAAAAGTGAAGTTCATGCTATGTCAGGACAGGAGACGAGATGTTTCCATCCCTGAAATTATGATGCATAGAATCACATATCTAAGTTTAAACTATGTTACAGAGTAAATGTAATAAAAACATGCTTTATCTGTGGCATTGTTCATTAATAAAATGGTACAATTCTAATGTATTAAAATTAAATACGATTGGTTCACTTAATTATATTGTATTAGGGATTAGATAATGCATTCAGCGAGTACTTTTACTTTTAATACTTAAGTATTTTTAAAAGCCAGTGCTTTTTTACTTTTACTTAAATGCAAATGTTAATGTGGTAGTTTTACTTTACTTGAGTAATTTTTTGTCTGTGTATTTGTACTTTTACTTAAATACATTTTTTGAGTACTTTCGCCACCACTGGTAAGTAGCAGAGTCACTAACGATGAATGTAGTAATGAATGGAGCTCTAATTATGGGAATGTGTCCACCAGGGAGGAGTGATTGGTTTCCAGGTTTTGTAACTTGTGTAGTTGTGGACTCCGGAGTTGTGAAACTGAGAGCAGGGAATCCATGGAGTGGTCTGGTGGAGGTTGCTGGAAAGTATACCATTGGAGGGCAGACAGACTTGGAGGAAGAGGAGCGAGACGTTACCAGTCATAGGACTTGATCCAGAGAACTTCAGTCTGGAGAGCTCGAAGAGAAACAAAGCACAGGGAGCAGAATCCGGAGCACTGCTGAGAACACCATGTATGGCTAACACTCAGGCACTGGAGGACTGGCCACTTACTCCTCTGGTTGATTTCAGAAGATGTTGTGCAGGTGTGTCTGTAATGATCACATCATCTGTGCAGCAACAGGAAGTTTCTGTTACTGGAATCCGTGACACCAACTCCCTGGCTCCATCTGGTGGAGAAACTGTGGAAGTGGATGAATAATGGAAACGCCACACAGAACCCAAACCCCAGCTTTCCAACATTATTATTGCTGTCGTTGTTGTGTTGTTGTTGTCAGTAGGAGTAGCAGTAATAGCAACACTTATTTCGGATGATATTTAAAAATATGAAGCCAGTGTTCAAATCTGAGGAGTTTTAGGTGCTTGGATTTGAAACACTGAGCTTAGAGGTGTATTCAGCTGGTCCCTAGTGGAAAAAAACAAAAACAAAAAACTTTAGTATATTTCAAACATACTTACATTTGTGTAAATACAATTTATGCATACTAAGTTTTAAGTATACTACATAAAAATATAAACAAAGTATACTAAGAGTATGGTTTTACCGATTTTGACATTATAACTTTAAACACACTTAAATTAATTGTACCAAAATACACTTTTAATGAAAGTATACTTTAAGTGAACAAAATATGTATTTTCTCAAGTGTACCAATGAAAAGATATGCTTTCAAAGATATTTTGTGTATATTTTAATATGCTCAAAATATAATATTTTAAAATTAAAAGTAAACTATTGACTATTAAATATACTCACATTTCTATATGATTTACATTACATCTCAGTGTATACTTTAGGCTAATGAAGTATGCCTTTTTAATAATCTTTACTATTTTGTTGAAATGGCAAAGAATAAAAAAATAATCCTTGTAGTGGAACTTGATGTAATGTTGTTTAACAATGTAGTAAATAATATGTTCATGCCTCAAAACATCAAATATTGACAGTTTAGTGACAGAGGTTCTACAACAAAAACATTACTTTTCCTGAACACAAAATGTAGCTGGTATCTTCAGTTTTACATCTCTCCGAATATGATCTGTTGTTCTGAGGGTTTTTTTTTTTTTTTTTTTTTTTTTTTTTTTTTTTACTAAAACACGGAAGCTGTCTTACCCAGTCTATTTTCAGATGTATTAGTGAACGGCATTAGCTCCAGACCAGATGGGGGCGGTAATGCAGATCTTCACTTTTTGTTGTTGTTGTTTTTTTAAAGCGCCATAAAAAGAAGAACAGCCATGAAGCCGGGGAAAATAACACATGCTTTTCAAATTCGCCATTTTTACTTGCATAATATTGCCTTAAAAGTACAGAGGGCCTTGATAATAGTAGTTTTGGTAAACTCAAGCTGGTGACCTCCTAGTCCGAGTTAGATGACAACACAATTGGACAAGAGCTGCATGGAAATGAAATGTGGGTCACCAACGGAGACCAAAGGGAGGAAAGCTGCCAACGTGTTGCTAGCTGGTGGTAAGTTTGCTTCAAAATGTCAGTTCTTTTTCTAACTTCGCTCGGTGTCTCACTATGGGAATCGCCTCAGCGTGACCCAACTACGGAAGCTCCAATGACATCACGTCTGTCCGCGACAGACAGGTTGAGCCGTGACCGTGGCTCCACCCGCCATCCAATATCACGGCCAACCTACCCCTCTCAACTCATTCTCGCTTTCTTCCCGTGTGAAGAACTACAACAAAGCTCCCTCAGCACATTCAGGCTAGCTTGGCAGTGCAGTACATATATAAACAAACTGACGTTGGTTTCAGAAGTAGTTATTTTATCAGTTTTATTGTGATTTTTATGATTATTACTGTAACAGTCATTCAACTTCATGTAATAACTGAAGAAACTGCATGGAGACTCTGTGTGTTGCAACTTATAGTTTTCTTCAAACTTAGCCTGGTTTTGATTAAGCTCAGTATGCCAAAGAGACTTTGATATTGTGAGGCTGTTTTTATAACTCGTTCATTATTGTTTTTATCTTCAACATATTTTTCCTGTCTCAGAAGAGGCTCTGGCTCCACCAGATCACCACACCAGTTCTGAGAATGAACCTCCACATCCATCTTCATAGTGTAAGGCTTTTTTTTTTTTTTTTTTTTTTACCCTGAGTAGCGGGCTAAATTTTTAACAGCAAAAACTGGTGTGTTTCCAACACTAAGTGCTTAATAAACATGATTTGATTTTAAAATAATTGGACAGAATTTATTCCCCTTGTTAATCTACCATTTCTCTTCTATACATTTTATTCATTGTTAGCTTCACAGGTCACCAATCTGTGACCTGTGATGGACTGCTGGAGATGGGCAGCACAAACCCCCCTCAACACCCTGCAAGGATGAGCATGTTCACATCATGAATGGAAAGCTTTTAAGCTAGTTTGTCTCCCTTAGGTCTACACTTAAAACAACTTCATAGTTAATGCCAGCGTCAACTGATTCTATGATATTGCTGACTATTTTTTTTCTACTTCTAACATTTACAGGCAAAGAAGTCACCCAGAAATGTTTTACTGGGACAATAAGGTAAGTAAGTCTCAGACACTAAACATTTATGTTGGCACTCTATGCGACTTTACTTTGTTCACAGCATTGTGCAAAAACAAATAACATGACTTACTTAAAACAACCATAAGAAACACTGTTTGGGTAAAACTCTCTACAACCATAAGCATCAGAGTAACGTTTTTTAGAGGTTCACCTGAGAGAAACAGTTCAGATGGGAGACAAGTAAACATTTAAACGCATGCCACTCTGGAGAATCAGGTTTTATTCTGGATAAAAATTAAGTTGGAGATAACGAGAGTGTCAGGCTCAGGTTTCACTCTATGAGGGTCTACATTCATAAAAAGTACACTAATAACATTGTGTACTTATCTTTTAGACTGCTATGAACAAATTCGAACTGCAAAGAGCAAATGCACTAAAATGTGAAACATTCGATGTGTGATACTTGTTCACCTTACTAATTTACAGTGAACATACAACTACAGTAAAGTGTAGCTACACTGTAGATTTCAAAAGACTGTGCAAATATTATGTAGTGCTGGGTTAAGCATTTTCAGGGAGAATCACCAAATATCACCATTCTGAGTAAGTGACAGGCTTTTGCAGTTTATTTTGTTTCCATAAATGATACATTTATATCTTTATGTATTTAACATTTTTTCTCTCCTAACTTAAGTCAATAAAGGAGCACCTGATGCAGGTAGCCCTCTATTTTTCTTTAACATAAAAAGTACTCCTGGATCAGAACTTCTGCAACTTTGTGTATTTGCTATTTCTTCCTGCAGTTGGTCGTGGCACATTGAGCCAGGTGCTGGTTCTGCTGGAGGTTTTTTCCTGCTAAAGGGGAATGAGTTTTTCTATCCACTGTCCTTGCATAAATGCCCACTATGAGGGATTGTTGCAAAGTCAAAGACTTAATGCAGTCTGCAGGTTTTCCTTAGATGCAAAACTTTTTTAATTAGAATAATAAACTAAACGTGGCTACATTGTTTGATAAATGGGAACAAATTGAAAGAGATTGAACTGATTTTGAATCTTATTGTATGATAGATTCAACTGGCTAAAGAAACATACTGAGAACAAAGTAGAAAATGTAAAGCTAAAAGCAGATTTCTGAAGAAGCTTATTTTTTATTATGAAAGATAACTCAATAAACTGTTTACAGTATTGTCATTTAACTTCAAATATTTATAAAATCTAAATGGAGGCGACTACCGACACCAGCTTGTGTCATGTCCTAGACAGAACATGGTTATATCTCTGGTTCCTTTTAGGATTTCACATGCGCTGAGACGGAATGTCTGGCGTGCTCCGGTGTCACTGGAGTCTGTCTGGCTGGACGCAGAGCTTTGTGCACAGCACCATCTCTGGGTGAAGGAAGCAGAAGTCCTCAGTGGCCCCAGCTGCGCTGCCAGCTTTGTGTCAGACACCAAATGTAAGCTTAAACCCGCCGCTACAGACATGAAGACAAAGAGAAGATGCACCCAAAAGCTGGCAGCGAGTGGGCAAGTGATAGATCTGCTCCAAAAAGGCAAGCAAAACATCCTGAAAACGCAGGACGAAACCAGATATGTTGATTTGGAGTCCGAGGACGAGAAGGTCTGTCGCTTTGGTCAGAGGAGCCAAGTGTCTGTCATTGCTAAAAACGGTGGATTTGAAGCAGTTTGTGCGTCGGAGCCAAACTCTGACCTGAAGGAGATGCACAGCAAGGAGGGAGGAGAAAGCACCAGAGGTGAGAAATGCATGAAAGTTGTGAGAAATCTCCCCTCTCCATCATCCTCACCTTGCCTGAAAAAAACTGAGACTAGCCTACAAATAGGAGAGAAAAGTGGTGAGAGCACATTTACGTACACCACCATGTCCAAAGGCATGGGCAGCAAGGCAGACCGCGAGGAGGAATCCCACAGCACCAACAGCTATCTGAGTGGGAGAAGTGAGTGTGAGGACTGTGAGGAGGTAGATAATGTCAGCCTGGTGCTCTCTGATGAATCCGCTCTGTCCTTAACCGAGGATCATTACATTACCACGCACGAGATTCAGCTCTCGGAGTTCTCTGACCATGAAGGGGACTACGACCTGGGCGTGGGCTCCTCCACTAGCTGGGACATTGAAGATGAGAACCAGGTGTACCCATTCATAGGCTACTCCTTTGCGGGTGAGACAGGGGCTTGTGGGGCGCCCTGCTCCAAGGGCGCTGCAGCAGTAGCAGCAGCGGTCAGCACTCTGCTTGAAAGTGATCTGAGCGATGCGGCCAAGTTCTGCAGCTCAGATGATCCCGAACAGAAGCAGGGTGAAGGACAGATCCACATGTCAATCAGAACCACATCCCGAGCTATAAATGACCCTGGCAGCATCCAAGAGGAGGAAAATATCCTTTGTCATGCCAGGCGCTCCGGAGACATGAGACGCTATGTTTTTAGGGGAGTGGATGGGAAGGCAGAGACCTTGTGTGACAGTGCGAAGTGTTTCATAGCCGCGCCCGGACGCCCGCACTTTGGCGGCAGATTGAGGGGGAAAGAGGTCACAGAGTATTCCAGCGGCACGTCCAGCGCTGTCAGCGAGCTGGACGACGCTGACAAGGAGGTGCGCAACCTCACAGCCAAAGCCTTCAAGAGCTTGGCCTACCCTTACTTTGAAGCCATCAATTTCAGCACCTCCAGTGAGTCCTCTGCATCAGAGCATGGCCGGAGGAAAAACACGTGGTCCACATTTCTGGATCTGAAATATGGCAACGTGAACATGTCTCAGGGACTGGACCAAAGTGTGATTTCCTGTCAAAACCCTGCGGCCTCATATGAAATAGGCAAAAACAGCGACAACAGAGGTTATAAGGGCACCATTAAGCCCACAACTAAGATCTTTGCTCTGAAAGCCAACCCCCGCAGCACCTCGTCATCAAAGCAGATCCAGCTCATGGGAAAGTTTGGGCAGGGCCACAGCGGAGTGATCAGACTCACAGAGACTCTGAATTTTTGTTGCAATGTCAAATCGGGAATGTCTGGGGAAGAAAGGCGCACTAACTTTGCGCAAAACGCAGCAGGATCATGTTCCACGGATGATATTACCAAGAGCCTGCAGAGCAGCCAGCAGAGAGGGGCCAGCAAGCTGCCCTCTAAAACCATGGAAGACACGCATAAGAAAGCCATATTCGCCTCCAGTTTGTTAAAAAATGTTCTTTCTAAGAAGATGCAGTTTGAGCAGGAGCGCAGGATGGAGAGGGGGGAGATCAGCGAGCCACACCAGGCGCCGTCCCCGGGCTTTGTGCTGCAGGAGAGCAACAATAAGTGGAAGGGGAACAGGGAGCTGGAGAGGCAGAGCTCCAAGTTCTCTGAGAGGGGCTGTGACTATGCCATAATGTGCGTGGATGAATTAGGGGACTTTGTGGACAGCGGCTCATGTGATAGTAAGAGGCAAGACGCGTGTGCTCCCGCAACAGAAACTAATTTAAACTCGGCCAATGAAGCTGGGATTGATACTAAAAAAGGCGCATTGCATCGCAGCCAAAATAGCGCGTTCAGATGCTGGAAGGACGAGGAGCTAGAGTTTCAAAAGGATCATAAAAACCATCAAACTCTGCTGGACAAGCTGCCTCCAGTTGATGACAAAGAGAGTGAGTGGGATCCGTTCTCTGCAAGCTGCGGTAAACTGACTAAAATGTCTCATTTGTTTGTGCCAAGTATCCAACTACTGCCCAGTGACAGAGAGGTGCGCCCGCAGCTGCAGAGAGGAGCTTATTCCTGGAATGGAAGCAACACTTTATACATCACAGACTCCAGGAGCTCAAAATCATCCAAATCACCGGAAATTAAAATCAACCTAAGAAGCGTTAAAGATAATAAAATGGAAGAGTTTGGAGGCTCCAAGCTGCGCGCCTCGAATATCACCGCTAGCCCATCAAGTCTGATCAGAAAAGAGGACTTCAAATGCCAAACCCTGGCTGCAGCTCTGAAGGGTGAGTCCTCAGATAAAATTCCGCACTTTATGGTTCGAGACATCAGAGATAATAAAGGGAAGTTACAAACTCCCATACACCAAGTCAGAGATGTGCGTAAGCTGGTTAAAAGTTCCTACCACTTAGTTTCCTTGGATAAGAACAAAAATAAATCAAATTCCTTTAGCTCTGAAATTCATTCAGAGCAAAAGAAGCAGATGCAAAACAGTAATCCTAACTGTGTGTCCCCCATGGTGATAAAATGTCAGTCTGTAAATACTAACAATGTAGAAAAACCTACCGGAAACCTTAAACAGGAGCAGTCTGACACATGCAGATCGTCTCCAGAGGGTGTAAAGAGTGCTCCACCCCAGAAGGCATCAGGGAGAGCAGCAAATACCTCGAACAGCTCAGAGGGAAACACTGGGATGAGCAATGAGGGCAAAACAGGTGCAACAAGGCAAGAAACGGTGTCAGAGACGGCAGAAAATAAACCGGAGTCAAAAGTCACAAATCAGGTGGCCTTGGAGAAACTCCAGGCTGCAGTGAAAACTATGGAGCAACTTTATGTGTTTGATAAAAATGAGTGGAGGAGAAAGAGTGAGCCTGAGCGTCTGACGGACAGCCATGTGTTGTCACTCATAGCTAGTGAAGAGCAGCAAGAGTCTGAGGAAAGAGGAGGGAGAGGGTTCAATACAGACAAAGCAGTCAGAAGAGATTCCTACCCAAATATAGACAAGACCCACCCGGCATTATCAGCGCCCTCCAGCACTGACAGCTCCCTAAGGTGGCTAGATAAAGACCTACTTAAAGTGCTTCAGTCATCCAATAGCCATGATGAAAGGTTGGTCACTAAGTCAGTCCAAACAGTTGGCACCATAGGGAGCAAGAGCATGTCCAGCTTTAGCTCCAAATCCAAGGCCTACACAGCTGCTGATGTTCCTCAATCAAACACCGCCCCACACACACCTTTCAGTGGCAAAAGCTTTGCACCAAAGTCTCCTAAATTGCCTGTGTCATTCAAAACCAGTCAGACAGGAGTTTGTGGGAAGAAAGATGCTGAACCGAGGGGAGTGAACCGATTTGAGCATCAGTTTTCAGGTGCATCGGTTGACAATGAGAACTACCTAACCATCCCAGTCAAATTTCAGCCCAACAACAGTAAAATGGCCGCAACTACAGATAAAACCTCAAAGACTCTTCACCATCAATCACTGCCAACCCCTCCTGCAGTACATGAAGACTGTACCTCTAGAGTCCAGGAGGACTACGGTCAGAGAACAAAACGTTCCAGTATTGTAATGGAGACCCATTCACCAGAGATCCCCTCTGCTACTATTTATCACTCCCTACCAATGGCTGTGTCTGCCAATCAGCCACAAATGTATTGTTTTTCCCCAGCAATCACTCCAGCCCCCACCCTGGACCCCTTTCAGGCGACACAGAGGAAAATGCTGCTAGATCCCACCACTGGAAACTACTACCTGGTGGACACGCTGGTGTCCCCAGCCACAAAACGTCTTTTTGACCCAGAAACACGCCAGTATGTGGATGTACCCATGCCACAGCCTCCGGTGACACCAGTACCAATGCCTATATCGCCGCTAGCGCTCAGTCCTGGAGCATATGGTCATACCTACATGATCTACCCAGGCTTCATGCCAACCCCTTCAGTGATACCTCCTCGAACGCTGGTACAGTCACAGATGTCCGTGCCATCAGAGGTAGAGGGTGTAGAGAAGTCTTCCTCACAGCAGTCTGAAGGAATGTACATGGAGAGTCCTTTCTATATGGCAACTACGAAGCCTCCCCAGGCAGCTTCAGGGGCTCAACAGCATGGCGCCTCCAACAGGCTACCGCATGGATGTTCCAGCATGAACCAGCCAGTCATCAGCATCAGCTCCCAGCAAGGGCCAAGGATCATTGCCCCACCCTCGTTTGATGGGACCACCATGAGTTTTGTGGTAGAGCACAGATGAGTCGCTAAGCTGGACAGGTGAGTCCTTCAGATTTTCCCTTATTTTTGCCTTTGGAAGAACTGGAAACCACAGTTCACCTTACCTATTTATTAAAATAACAAGTAGGTAACAAAAAGGCAAACTGTCCTGCTGTTATGGACATGGTCTTTTAGTCTGAGGGACATGGATGTTTTTTTTTTTTTTAACTTAGTTTCTTTCTCTCGGAAAAATAAATGTAATAATTTGGGTTATCATAAGAGAAACAAATGAGGGTTAATTGTTCTCACCATATATTCATAATTGTCACAGTTTTAAACTTAATTAGTATGCTAAATATTTAGTTTGTAAAGCAAATATCTAGCACAAAACTAAATCTTTAGTTAGCATAAATAGTTATGCCCAAACTAAATATTAGCTTGCTAACTGAATATTTAGTCAGAACAGTGAAAATATGGCCCCTCATTATTCAAAAATAACCGGAATTATTTGCTGTTAATTTTTGACTGTGTAACTTAACATTTCAAAAAAAAAAAAAAAAAATCAGAAGAAATTTAGGCTTTGGAAAATTAATGGATAATTTTAAAAGTCAATGAAAGGATAATCCTGACCATATATCTGTAATTTATGTAACCTTTTTGTTCAAACCATTTGTCACTGCATCAAACTGTCTAATTTCAGATTTCCCACATTTTCTGCAAGTTGCAGTAAAAACAAGCAGACATAAAAAGGTGTTTGTTGCATAGCTAATATCTGTAAGATTTCCATATACAGTGACAATAAAATTGTCATGTTGGGTCCAAGTCTTTTGACCCAACATAACCCACATACAATCAGTCTGATTTCCTGATAAAAATAAACTTGATCAGGAAATCAGATAAAGTTTATTTTAACAATGACCAGATTGTGTGGTAACAATGACCAGATTGTGTGGTTCTTGTTCTGTGGATGGGAAGCCAGGGTCATCAGCACTCTGAAGACAGTGGGAGAGATATGGTGAGTTGAAGGTTAATCACACAGGTTGAATTCTGAGGGAGAGGAATGATCTTACCTGGAGAGTTTCCGCCAGTGGGGAATTACTGTGGTCTCTGGGGTTGTGGTCTCTTTGCAGGGGCCCTTGATGATCCTGGTTCCAATGTGAGGTCCAGATAGAGAGTTCTTTGGAGGTAAAAAGGTTGCGGTGGAGGGCGGACAGATAAATTCATGAGAGGAGAGGTGAGGAGCAATCCGACTGCCAGTGTGAATCCAGGAACTTGTCAATGATTCTTCAGCAAAGGCGAAGAGAGACTCGGGCAACCAATGGGTAAAATCTGCGGCGTCATGAGGGGGAAACCAGAAGGCCAGGAACTCGGGCTACGCAGTGGGTAAAATCTAAAGTGCCATGAGGAAACACCTGAGAGAGATGCAACAGGGAAAACTTACTTGAAACAGTCTCAGAGAAACTTCAAAGAGCGGATTCAGAGGGGTGCTGAATACCATAACTGGCAAACACCAGGTGTAGAAGTGCCAAACACCAGGTGTAGAAGTGCTGGTAGTCCGTACCTCATATACTCCTAGGTGATGAGGTGATTGATCACAGGTGTTCTGACTCAGTCAGCAGGCACGCCCTCCAGGTAGTGCAGCCTCGAGGCACCATCTAGTGGATGATGAGGGAAGCAAGCAGACAAACAGAAAACCCCCACAAAGAGCCAAAACCCCAGTTCCCAACAGTACCCCCCCACCACCACCTGGCGGCCCAGACGAACGGTAATCGGTGAACAGGGAAGAGTCAAGAATAAATGATCCAGGGACCCAAGAGCGCTCCTCCGGGCCGCAGCCCTCCCAGTTGACGAGGAACTGCCAACCACGACCTCGTTGATGGGAGTCCATGATCCAGCGGACGGAGAAAGCTAGATGCCCATCGACATCTCAGGAGGGAGGAGGGGATTGGAAGGAGGGCACATTGTGCTGGTCTGAACAGTTTCCCAAGTTAAACAACTTGGGAAACGTGGAATGGACACAGAGTGATAATGGAAGAAAGTGACGGACTGATGACCTTTTCGACTTTGTAGGGATTGATGAACCTGGTTGAGAGTTTCGTGGACATGGATTTAAGGGGAATGTCATGTGCAGAAAGCCAAACCTTTTGTCCGGGTGAATACTGTGGAGCAGGCGTTCTCTTACGGTCAGCAAAGCATTGGTTCTGTTCTGTGGTGTTGAACTGAAGTTATGGAGTTTTCTTTTTCATCTGAGGGGAACAGTCTGCATGAAAACAAAAGCACATGGATGGTTCTTATTGTCAGAGTCAGAAAATTGAGATAGAATGATGAGGGGTTTTGAAAGCTGTCTTACATTTATCCCCCTGGCGGATGCGGAGAAGATGGTATGCGTTCCTTAAATCTAGTTTAGTGAATCCTGTTGCACCATGAGCTGGTTCGAATGCTGAAGAGAGAAGAGGGAGAAGATATTTATTTTTAACAGTGATCTGATTTTAACCTCTGTAGTCAATGCACGGCCTCAGTGATCCATCCTTCTTCCCCACAAAGAAAAATCCGGCACCCAGGGGAGAGGAAGAGGGACGAATAATGCCGGCAGCCAATGAGTCCATTGTCTCCCATTTGGGTCGTGAAATGTTGTACAGTAGTAGTAGGTAGGTAGTGGTGCTCCAGGGAGAAGACCTATTGCAAAGTCATAGGGATGATGAGGTGGAAGAGAGAGTGCTTTGACTTGCTAAAAACAGGTGCTAAATCATGATATTCTGCTGGAATGGTGGATAAGTCGGGAGGGTCTGCTTCCTGTGATTTCGCCAGTGGCGGACCTGGAGGAACTGCTGAGCAGAGACAGGTGGAATGACAGTTATGTGACAAAGATTCAATATGCATTTCTGACCAGTTGTCAGAAATGCATATTGTGGGGTTGTGTTGTTGTAACCATTCAAAACCAAGGATTATGAATGAGTTTGCTGTGGGAAAAACAAAAAAAGAAATTTGTGTGCTGTGATTACCACATATGAATTCAAAGGTTCATTAAGGGCTTGAAAATAAGCAAAGGTTTTGTCTTGTGAGTAATCTGAGGTAGTGCTTTACCATCCAAGGCGGAGAGGCATGGGAAGTGGCATGGTTTCGATGGACATCTGTTGGATTAAACTGGAATCAAATTAGATTGTGTTCGCAACCGGAATCAAGAAGCTGCGGCTTTAATTCTCAAGTTTATGGCAAAATCTGCCACAGATCTCTGTCCTTGTTTGATTGTCCATAATTCTCGGGAGTAGGATGTTTTATCTGATTCTTGATGAAATACTTGTTTAAATTCTATCAAAAAGTATCCGAATGTGCAACCAAATGAGCAGGTGAATGAAACTTCTGCCCAGACTAATGCCCATTAGACTTCTGGCCAGTCTGATGCTCGGTCAGTTAAAAGTGAAATTATGAAAGCTATTTTTGCACCATCATGGGAGAAACTTCGAGGGGAATGATTGAAAACTAGTGAGCACTGTAGATGGAAACTTTTACAATGGTTTATATCACCTGAAAATTTGTTTGGAGTTGGTGGACGGATTTCAGAAAATGTGGAGTGGCCAGTGGTTCAGGACTGGAAGCGGAGGCTGGAGCTGGAGCGGAGGTCTGTTGGAGAGAGCTTTGTAAAAAGTTAGACAACTCTTCAAGACGTCGATTTGTTTCAGCTTGGCTGGAACCCAGGTCTCGTAAAACAGTATCATGGGTTTGAATGAGTGAATGTTGTTCTGCCAAAGTTCTCCTGAGAGCATCTGTGGGGTTTGACTGTTGGCCTGAGTGTTCTGTTATGTTGGGTTGAAGTCTTTTAACCCACATACGGAACTCAGCCAGGAGAACAGGAAATCAGATAAAGTTTATTTTAACAATGGTGAAATATGAGATTGTGTGGTTCTTGTTCTGTGGATAGGAAGCCATCCATAGAATATAGAAGATAGTGCTGAAGTACTGTCTTCAACACTATGAAAACAGTAGGAGAGATATGGTGAGTTGAAGGTTAATCACATGGGTTGAATTCTGAGGGAGTGGAATGATCTTACTTGGAGAATTTCCGCCAGGGGGGAATTACTGTGATCTCCGGGGTTGTGGTCTCATTGCAGGGGTCCTTGATGATCCTGGTCCCAGTGTGACATCCAGACGGACAGTTCTGTGGAGGTAGATGGAAGAGGCTGCGGTGAAGGGCGGTCAGGTAAGTTCTTCAGAGAAGAGGTTTGGAGCAATCTGACTGCCAGCGTGAATCCAGGAACTTGTCAGTGACTCTTCAGCAAAGGGGGAGAGGGACTTGGCAACCAGTGGGTAAAATCCACAGCATCATGAGGGGGAAACCAGAAGGCCAGGAACTCGGGCTACACAGTGGGTAAAATCCAAGGCGTCACGAGGAAACACTTGAGAGAGAGGTGACAGGGAAAAATTACTTAAAATAATCTCAGAGAAACTTCAAAGAGCCGACTCAGAGGAGTGCTGAGTACCATAACTGGCAAACATTTAGGCATCAAAGTGCTGACAGTCCAGTCCTCATATACTCCAAGGTGATGAGGTGATTGATCACAAGTGTACCGACTCATTCAGCAGGTACACCCTCCAGGTAGTGCAGCCACTAGGCACTGGACAGGTGAGTACTTCACCTTTATTATTATTTTTGCCTCTGGAAGAACTGGAAACCACAGTTCACCATAACTATTTGTTAAGGTAGCAAATAGGTAACAAAAAGGCAGATTGTCCTGGCCTTATGGACAGGGTCTTTTAATCTGAGGGACATGGATGTTTTTTTTTTTTTATTTATTAGTTTCTCTCTTTCTTTTGGAAAGATAATAAATCTAAGCATAAAAATAACTAAATCAGCCACCTCAGTGGATGATGAGGGAAGCAGGAGACAAACACAAAATCCCCACAAAGAGCCAAAACCCCAGTTCCCAACAAAAATGTGTAAAAATTCTTGTTAAGATTGCAGGTTTCTGTAATGTAAAAAATTAAGACACTAAAAAATGTCAGAGCTTTTCCCATCTTGAGAATGACATCAATCCTGTATTATTTAACTAGATACACATTTGTCCGAATGGAAAATGTAAAGGAACATAGAAAGATTCTGTGGCCTGGTTGCAGAAATCTGCACATTTTAAACTAAATATTATTGAACCACCATGGGATTTAAGTTTATTCTTAAAGTCTACAATCAGTTTCAACAAATCTGATTAACCATGAAAACAAAAAAGTATTACATTGAATCTGAAATAGTATTTCTGGAGGGAGCTAAATATCTTAATCTTTAGGATCTTTGCTTCAGATCCTGGAGATCTTTAATAAGATCAGATACAAGAGGAAACATGCAGAAAGATCTGACAACTGTAATGCCATCAAAATTTTTCCATAGATTTTTGAGTAATAAGTAAATAATTCTGACATTTTGATTTTTTGTTTCTATTTACCTGAAGAAAGTTATGGCACACAATATTCGCTATATTGAAAATACATCTTGATTCTACATGGTAAAAACAAAACAAAACACCATATAGAGAGAAAATACAGCTACACAAAAAACCCTGATATCCAAACTGGTTAGCAAAGACATAGACTTGCCCACCAAGACAAGACGTTGGTGGGCATGTCCACCAACATCTTAGGTTAGAAATTATACACCGTGTTTACAGCATATAAAAAAATTACATAAAATGCACAAGACATAAAACGAAAAGAAGGAAAGTAGTGCATTCTTCTTAGAAGAAGTCATTTTTTAGGAAAATTGAAGACGTCCACTGAGGCTTAGGCTTGGTGTGAAAGTTAAAAATGAGAAGCCATCTTTCCTAAGAACATCCAGCGACCAAACAGAAAAATCCATTAAAAACTATGTCCTGTATCCATTTTACTTTTTAGTTCTGTGTAAGGAGATGTTTGCAATTAATTATATTCAGTTTTTTATTATTTTATTTTTAATCTGGCAAGAACATATAATTGATTACAGAAATAACAGCTAACCCTAACAACAACAACAGTAATAATAATACAGCTGAAAGATTATGAAAACTCAAGAGACCAAGACAATATAACTTAAATATGTGGATAACATACATTCAAGCATGCACATGAGTATATGTACACAAACTGAATTAGAACATGGATATTTAAAACTACAGAAGTAAACAATCACTGTCAGTGGTTAGAATTAGAAGGAACTACTGAAGCTACCAGGCTAACAGCAGAGTTTCTATGTGGTTTTCAAGTTTGAGGGAGGGCATCTAGTCTCTCAAAATAAGATAGTAGAGGGGCCCAAGTTTTATGAAAGTTTTTCATCAATCCTCTAACACAAGAGTACCCAAAGTCAGTCCTCGAGGGCCAGCATCCTGCATGTTTTAGTTATCTCCCTGCTGGTAATAGCAACTTTTTCAGCATGTCATTGTTCTTCTTAGACCTTCTAATGAGCCATCATTTGATCCAGATGCGTTAAACCAGGGAGAAAACTAAAACATGCAGGATGCTGGACCTCGAGGACCGACTTTGGGCACCACTGCTCTAACACAACATTTGATCTTCTCTAACTTAAAGAACAGAGCCAGGTCTTTCAACCAAAGAGAAGCTTTGGGTGGATGCTCTGATTTCCATGTTTATGAGATTCTTCTTCGGGCGATTACAGTTGAAAAAGCCAGTATATTTTTAAAATCACATGTTATTGTTATACTCTCCCCTGGTTCTCCAAATATTGCCAATTCAGCACTGGGTTGATTGTCTATTCCAAAACTTAAGATAGTGTCTGAAATATCATAGAGGTCCTGCACAGTTTGTTACAGGACCAGAACATGAGTTAAATTTGCCTTAAAGTTCACTGACTACAGAATATATCCTTGAGAATCTGGCTCTGCTATAATGAATTCTATGAAGAACATTGGACTGAATTAGTCCAGGTCGAGCACATGAAGTTGACCTGTTTACTCTATGCAATGCATGATACCAAGTCTCATCAGAGAAGTTTATTTGAAGTTCTTCTGACCGTTCTGCTCTGATCTCATTGAGCATTACTGTATTGAGTGATACAGTATTGCTCAATGTAACATATGTAACAACATATAGATCTCAAAATCTATATGCTGTTGTAGATTTTTGAGATGAGACCTCTACCTTGTGTGGGAGTTTACAAAATTATGTCTACTCCACCCTTTGGAGGTAAATTGGGAAAGCAAGGACTGGTGTTAGGGACAAAATCTCAAATCTGGAGATAGCGGAATGGGGTGGAACGCTAATTATATTAATTTCTTAGCTCTATAATACATAAGTGAAACAGCCACAGTACAGTTGTAAAGTTTGCTGCCTAACATGTCTCTGTACCGTAAAGACATGTTTATATGGAAATTATCAGAGTATTATCGACATTAGAGTCTTCATTGACGGAAATGTTTCATGTTTGTGGAGGAGGAAAGGTTCAGGTGAAGGCAAGTGTCTGTTATCTGTGGGACCTGAAAAGCCTCAGCTGCTGCTGGACATCAGGATTCTGGCTGGCAGCGAGGAGCTGCAGCAGTATCAGTTGGTTTTTTTTATAGGAGCAGTCATTTAAAGACACAGAGGGCGAGAAGTCGGCTTCATTACATAAACACCACATGCAACACAGCAGCAAATAACCTTGCCTGCACTCTGGGGGAATATTTGGAGTTTTCCTTCTTTTTTGACAATGAGACCCACAGAATGGAGGGCTCAATTATGTTTATAAAGTAATGTGGTAGTCAAATACTCTGTATAGAGTGGAGTAAGCAAAAGGGTGCAAACTGTCATGATGACACTCATAGTATTCATTGACTTACATGTAATGTTTATAAGGGTAAGTAGAATATAAGGGGTGAAAATGTCCTCTGGTGGGAAGGTGGTATGCTGTAAAGATTACCTTCAGATTTCATGTTGGGAGGGGGCTATGAGTACACCCAAGATTATACATAATGCAGGCAGATTTGTCTTTTCGGGTGTTTTCACATCTTTGATTGGGCACCAAAACTGAACAAATAATTCCATTTCAAGCTGGTGCTGTTCACTTTCACTCTGCACTGTATAAAATGAACCAAACCCTTTAAAAACCTGTTCCTGGCAATTTTCGGTAACCTTTGTAGCATCGAGCTGGTGCATTACATACGTCAGAGACAAATGTCAGCTATTGGGTAACATTTAAAACTTCAACAGAGTCCATGCCTCCAGGAAGAAATTGTTTCTTAATAGCCAAGGGTCAAAAAGACCCTCTGGACGAAGCAATGCGAAGAAGAAGGAACTGGTTTTTACCAAGCTAAGTTGATAGGCTAAACATAGTGACCAGTCCATGTAAGGGCTGACAAAAATGTACTCATACCTCCCACCTAGGATCACATTAGATTGGACAGTTATATTTAGATGTCTCAGGAATGCAAACTCCACACATAGAAGGTTCCTGCAGGGGTTAAACCAGGTACCTGTAGGTGAAAGGCAGCATTGTTCTCTAAACGATGGCTTATCACCAGCATCAAAGAGAAGTCTTCTAACTTTACATTTTAACATTTTCCCTGAAAAATAAATGAATCCTGGTAAATAAAGTTTTTTTCAGCATTTTGTATGCAATAGTCAAAAATATACTGATAGAGAGATAAAACATTGACTATTTATGTTGGTTTTAAGTCCAGTTCTTTGATCGATGTGTGTGTGTGTTGTACATCATTATAACGATTGCTGTAAGTGCAACAGGCTGAGTGAAGACTAGGGTTTCATCTGATCTTACTGTGTTCATAAGAACTTTCTCTCCTCTGTTTTTCTCCCCTGTAGGACTGGAGCTTTCGTGATTATTGGCCACCTCTCGGTTTATCCTCTTCATTGTTTTACACTGAGGTTGTTGTTTTACACTGAGCAATTTAGTTGTTCAGGTATTCTATCTAACTGCTGCTGAACCTTTTTTGACTTTCTACAAGATTGTAATTCATGCTTTTTTTACATCACTGCTAAACCAAGAATGAATGCCTTTGAAGGGATTCTTTACCCACTACTGAAACTAAATAGATTTTGATTTGGAAAAATTATTTTCCAAATCAAAATAAAGATTGATTTATCTAAGTTCTTCTAATTTTAAAAATAGAAGAAACTACTTGTTTTGAAGAAACTACTTTATACAGTTATGAATTTAAGTACCTGTTCCCTGTTAGATTTTGCTGAATTTACCAAAGAGTTTTTACAACTTTAGTTGTCATGATGACTTCTTCTGTGTTGGTGCTTTATGATGCACACAAATCAGTGTTGATTCAAAGCACTTTATGTGCATAATATACATTATTGCACATTTTTTAAAAGCTAAGGTTGGAAAAAATGTAATGTGACATGTCTTTTGTTTGTACTGGTTTCTTTTGAGAATGTGGAGCTGCTGGACAGTCCTTGTTAATACATGTCAGGCATCATTGTTATTCCAGATTATTCTTTTATAATGAATGCTATGAGTAACTGACAGTGACAAATGCATTCGTTATGAGAGCGCAAGCCATCTTATTGAATTATATTTCACTCTCATTTTTAGAAATGTCATCTTGCCATTTGTTTTCTTTGTGTCTTTTAGGGGAAGTGTCCTCTATTTATACTTTGTACATAGTTTATTTTTCCCAAAGTATGCACACTTTTTAAAGTCTTACACTTAGATTCTGCCATAAACTTTCTGAAGATAGTAGGGCTTTCAGGGGTAAGTGGAAGTAGGGTTTGCAAGACAAGAAAATGAATGGTTGAGACTTTGTGAGGGATGTGTGGGTTAAAAGTGGAGGGACTTTGTAGGAGTAGGGCAAAAAGCTGGACATGATGCGTTATGTTTTCACTTTGCTCAACTGATTTTTTTGTTTTGTTTTTCTGCATAAAAAAATGACTTCACAAAGTTAGGTCTTGACTTTGCAACTGAGAAGATGGCATATGTTGAAATACATAATTAAAACAGTACTTTTGAACTGTAAATGTTTTTTACATATTCACAATGTTAAATTGAGGTTGTTTCTGCTCTTATGTTGTACTTTATTATGACACAAAAACAAACATTTCTCCAGTTACGTTTCTGCAGCCACTTGTTTACTGACACATGAAATCAGTGGTGGTTCTTTCAGGAATAGTTCCCTGGCCAGAGCCCCTCCTAATGCTATCCTCAACCAGTTCAAACTAAAGCAATTAGATGATTTTCCAACAGAAAGCTTGTAACCTATAGTTTCCAGTACTCAGTCAGAAGCAAGTAAAATTACATGCAATTTTGCAAAAGGTTTTCACGATCGCTTGAAGTGGTTTTTGGCTTTTACGAAAAATATCTAATATCGTAAAGGGGAGATGGAAACAGATTTGCTGAACATCTGTCATAGCAAACTTACCTGTAAACTGATGAGTCTCTGCCTTAATTGAGGCACAAAACTTGGAAAAACTTCTACATCTTGTTACAGCCATGCGTAATGCCACATTCTGCCTAAATCACGCTGACTAGCCTGGTGTCTTATTTTGTACTTCTTAGATGCCTGGCCCCCTTTCTAAAGGGTTTGCTCCAAACCAGTAAATGAAAACATTCATATTCTCTTTTCTTTTTTTGCTACATTTTAAAAGTTTGCTCAAAAATTGCATGACAATAGAAAACCAGGGTTTATAGTTCAGTGGACTCCATAAACACCAGATCTCAATGAAAAAGAGAATGTGGTGGAACAGGAGGATCTCATTATGGATTTTCAACTAAAAAAATCTGCAGCAACTGTATCATGCTGGTATGTCAATAAAGACCAAATCTACTTTGACACTGCAATGCAGCCAGACTCACCATACTGTCTGCTGAAGATGTTAGAACAGGATATAAAACAGTAATGCTTGAATACATATTTATTAAGTCAAATTTTATTTCCCTTGAGAACTTCCTCTCCCAAAAACCTTTGAAGCAAATAATGTCCTGTAAAATAAGTATAACTTAGCACACACTACTTGATAAGTTTGGCTATGCTCATACTGAAAGAACATAGCCACAACTAAATAGCAAAATACAGGGTCTGAGTCTGTGGTTTAGAGGCAGTGTAATACTAACTCAGCTTGAACTCAGAGCAGTAAGTGAGCATTAAAAAGTTCCTCTGCTGCCTGGGGATCCAGAGTAAGTGGGTCAGAGGAGGATGGAGGTACTGGTTGAGTACATGCAGGGTCAGGTTGCAGATTTCCAACTGTATCCTCAGAGTCATCCTATCTGAGTGTGTCGATGACACATACCATCACACCATGCCACACACTCACATAACCCTGACTAATGTGCAGTGCATCCCACAATTAACACCATCAGGCTTGAATGGCTTTTAAAAACAAGCCTTTAAATAGATTTGTTATTAATATCAGTATTTACTCCGTCCAACAATTTCCTCTTGAGGGCTTTAGGTTTGTCAAGTTGTCTCTGAACAAACCGTTAGTCTTGTAATTATGTGAAATGTCTCTTCAGTACATACAACTTCACACTAGTTTTTATTATGATTCAACGCAGGTCAATATCTAAGCATGGCATCAAATTTGGAACAGAAAAACTGAAAATCTAAAATGATTCTAAGCAAAGAGGTCTGTAGTTCAAATCCAATGTAGGCCTCAATTTGACTATATAGTGCAATGCCAGG